TAAAAAATGAATAAAATAAAATAAAAAAATAAAAAATGCAGAAACAAAAAAGAATATTAAAAACAGTTGGGTTAGCATTTGATCAAAAATTTCTCCTTGGGCAGTTGACAATTCCCCATAACCTTGCCTTTTGTTCTACTACCATACTGTAGAACTGCAAAACCTTTCCCATTATCTACAGGTAATTTAACTCTGCCCGATATGCAATTTAACCCTGTCCAATACACACCAATCCTATGCCAACCTGGATAACTGGGGGGGATCCCACTCTAGATTACCGACGTCTCAGTAAAATTAAGTACCTTCTCGTGGCACCCACAACCTTCCTCTCACTCACTTGATGTCGATGAAGTGGACGTAAGTCTTGATATATTGATTGATGGATTGATTGATCAATTGATTGATTTTATTGCAATCACAGTGGAGAAATTTACCTGTGTATTTATATAGATGGATATTTTTATATATAGCTATATATATCATTATATATATAGCTATATATATCATTATCTACAGCTTGTTTGAATTTGTTTAGGTTTCTGTTTCAGAGTGCTTCAAACATTATTTAAATACCATCATGTGGTTTTACTACACTTAAGGATGAACTGTGGTGAACTCCATTGGATATTGATGTCACTTCAAAACTAACACTAAAAAAAACGGCTTTTCTACGCTAAGTGTTTCATCTATCAGTTAATTCGCTGCAACAAAATTGTAATTCAATAAACCATTACCGTATTTTCACGACCATAAGGCGCACCGGACTAAAAGGCGCAGTCTCAGTTATGTGTCCCATTTCTGTATTTAACACACACATAAGGCGCACCGGACTATAGGGCGCGTTTTTTATATACAGGTACATGTCCTCTCAGGTGGATTTTCCCACTTAAAAACATATTAAAACTACTTTATTCCCACTGATCACAGCAAATAAAGCTGCAAGGTGTATTTATTACAAAGTATTATTCAAACCTGGGAACCGGCTGTGAGAGACACATCGCTGATGACACAGGGCTGTGATTACTCCTCTGATACAATTTATTGACGCATAAATTAACTTAAAACATAGGCAGGATAATAAAATGGATGAACTGACTGCAATGATAAAATTTTCAGGTGGACTTTCTCACTTAAAAAGATTTAGATTATTTAGATGAAAAAACACCTGCCGAGGTGAGCCCGGATGCGCCGCGGCCCAGAGGCTGCTGTTGAATTAAGTTTTCAGGTAGAAAAATAGAGCGGGAGCAAAACTGAGTATGATTGTGCTTTATTCAAGTATTTATTACAGAGTATTAATCAAACCCCTCAAAGTCCTCATCCTCTGTTTCTGAATTAAACAGCTGCGCTAAATCCGACATGCCAGTTTCCCCTTCTTCGTTTATTGACGCATAAATTAACTTAAAACATAGGCAGGATAATAATCTGGATGAACTGACTGCAATGATAAAATTTTCAGGTGGACTTTCTCACTCAAAAAGATTTAGATTATTTAGATGAAAAAACACCTGCCGAGGTGAGCCCGGATGCGCCGCGGCCCAGAGGCTGCTGTTGAATTAAGTTTTCAGGTAGAAAAATAGGGCGGGAGCAAAACTGAGTATGATTGTGCTTTATTCAAGTATTTATTACAGAGTATTAATCAAACCCCTCAAAGTCCTCATCCTCTGTTTCTGAATTAAACAGCTGCGCTAAATCCGACATGCCAGTTTCCCCTTCTTCTTCGCTGTCAGAGTCACTTTCCGTGCCAGGCGGCTCCTTGGAAATGATGCCGGCTTTTGCGAAAGCCTCTTTAGGCAAAGTCTTTTTTTTAAAAATCACCATAGGCGGCAGTTTCTGTCCATTTGCGTGGCAGCCAAGCACAACAGTAAACGACGCCTTTTCATACCCCGTTGTGTGTATCGCTACAGTGCTGGTCCCCTTCTTCTCCACGGTGTGATTCACCGGGATGTCGAAAGTGAGCGGCACCTCGTCCATGTTGGTGATGTGGCTTGGCTGGATGACTTTGTCAGCGATGTGTTTGCTGCAGAAGGAGTGGAAGCTCGCCAGCTTTTCATCATAATCCGCCGGACGTCGCTGAGCAACTGTAGTCCTGGTCCGGATGGAAAAATTGCACCGTTTCATAAAACGGAAGCACCACGATGGACCTCCTTGAAAATTTTCAATTTTCATTTCTTCCGCTAGCTTTACTGCTTTAAGTCGAACAGTGACCGTTGAAACGCTGGCCCCACTCGTTCTTTGCTCCACGATCCACCGCTCGAGTCTTTCCTCCAACTCGGGCCACCTCGCCTTATGTCCGCGGAAACTCAGCTGCGTCTTCTTCACCAGTCGGAGTTCGTTTTCCAGCTTCCTCCACTTGCGAACCATCGATTCATTTATATTGAATTCTCTCGCAGCTGCTCGATTTCCATGTTCCTCTGCGTAGCTGATAGCCTTCAGTTTAAACTGGGCTTCATAGGCGTGTCTCTTTGCCAATTTCAGGGTTGTTAAGACAACAATGTTCTGCATAAAGCACATACCTGTTCTTTTATACACAAGCCACGCCCACACTTCCCCCTTTAAGGTTCTCACATACTCATGGTGGTCTCAACAACGTCCGCAGATAGGGCGCACCGCA